CGGCCGGTCATGGTTCATAATTATGGTGTATCATGGTTCATGCATCCAGCTGTGGTACCCGCCGCCTCCCTAATCAACCCCCTCCCTCCCCCCCGCAGTCCACACACCAGCCCCCTCAGGGGCCCACTCTGTTCCGGAGTGTGGCTCTGCAGGAGCTTGTGTCTGACCACTTTCATGTTGCGTAAATTTGGCAGCTAGGACCAGCCTGTGCTATTCCTATTGTAATATTTAAGTCTCTTTAAATAGTCGGCCATATTTCAGAGAGGAGCAGAGGGTGGCCAGGACATGGCAGTGGTGAAGACTCTTCCTCTGGCCAAGGTTGCAGTTTCGTGGCTGATGCTGAAATATCTCCAGATGATGACTAATGTGGCCACGGCGGCCGTGTCCCGAAGCTGGGAGTATGGGATCTCCAAGGACATCCCTGACTCATCTCTGTCTTCATGCATCACAGGGTACTTTACAGATGCAAAGCACGGGGTGGTTAAGCCCCAGTGAAAGCAGCTGTTGCTGTATCAGCCTTCAGATCACACGGAGGCCAGCCGGTCACAAGGTCACAGCAGATCTTACGGAGGTCGGCCGGTCACAAGGTCACAGCAGATCACACCAGCCCACTTCTATCGGCAACGCTGGTGCTTAATCTTTCCCTGCTACGCTATGGGTGGCAAGTGGCAAAGACAGAGGAGGGAACTCCTGTTAATCACGGCGCTTCCTGACCTGTAGTACGGACGGTGCTTAAACAGAGCCCTCATACAGCCATTGTTTCTGCCAGGCAGTCACATGGTCATTCTTCTACCTTTTATGGCACGGGTCTGCTGGTTCGCGGTGTTTAGATAGAATGTCCTGTTGGGCCAGTGACTCCATCCAGAATTAAAATGAGTCATCACCGTCGTCGTCATCATCTGTGTTGTTATTTGGTTCCTGGCTGCAGGGATTACAGCCCTTATGTCCCTGGCTCTCAGGACTGTCACAGTGACATGTCAGTCACATAGACCTCATATCTGACAGCCCATATTCATATGAGTTGTCAGTCTGGTCATAATATGCGGGGGTGGGTGTGGCACCTGAAATATGAAATCCATCCATCCATCCATCCATTATCTATACCGATTTATCCATCTGGGTTGTGGGGAAGCTGGAGCCAATCCCAGCATCATCGGGAGGGAGGCAGGGTACACCCCGGGCAGGCCGGCAGTTCACCACAGACATGAAATCCATTTTTATGGCAATTCAGAACATTGAATTTGGGTGCAACTCAGCAGGTTAAGACGTTGTCATTGTAATCAGAAGGTTGCAGGTTCAGATCTGGGGGACGGAAGAATGATGTACGTAATCTCAGCACTGGGTCACCTTTAAAACACGAGAAATGGTTTTTGCTGGGGTTTCAGTGAAGAGAGTTGGTGAAGATCTCTGAAAGCAGCAATTTTCAGGCATGTTTGCTTCATTATAATAAGACGTGTCTGACAAGGAGCAAAATAGACTATCAGAAACATCCTGATGTCATAAAGAGGTTACGGCTTGAATTGCAGACTGTTTTCTGCTGATCCACAACTTCAGTGCCCTGGCTACATGAAAATATCCTTTGATGCCAGTTCTAACAAACCCAGATGGCACCAAGCTCTAGGCTTCATACAGGCCATGGGAATTAAAAATGTGAATATAATCATAAGACAGGCTGAATCTCAGCGACAGCAAGGTGCCAAGGTTCGCCATGAAATCATAATTACCACGTCTCTAAGCAGAACTGACTCTAAGAGCAGAAAACAGAAGTAAATCTGTAATTAAGAGGCGTTTAATCCCAGGCATTAAGACAAACGAAAATATGAGCTATTCAAGTTACTTAGTGGTGGCAGTAAACCTGGCAGCATTGTCAGTGTACAGTGTGGGAGATGCACTCCTAAAAACACCAGCAGGTGTTCCTCATATCTTACTGGCTCCTTGTGCTACACACTAGGACTAAGCTTACAAGGAGTTTATTCATATGCATGGAGAGTTTGAATGGTAAGTCACTGGTAATTGTGCCTGCATATGTCTAAAGCCCAGAACATCAGCTGTCGATGACGGGAACCTGTAGTTATAAACAGAGATCTTTACATACTTTTCTGTATGTCTTACAGCCCACTAAGACCCATCATAAGGCAAACAGTTCAGCTGAAGCCTTGAGTTTGAAAATAATGTGGTTGTGGGTGGGCCTTGACTGGCTGTGTACTATGGCGGCCCAGGTGAGAAAGATGGAGAAGGACCAGGAGGGCAGGAGCATGGAGATTGGCCAGGTGGGCAGGACAGTGGAGAGAAAGATGGAGGAGGACCAGGAGGGCAGGAGCATGGAGATTGGCCAGGAGGCCAGGGCAGTGGAGAGAAAGATGGAGGAGGACCAGGAGGGCAGGAGCATGGAGATTGGCCAGGAGGTCAGGGCAGTGGAGAGAAAGATGGAGGAGGACTAAGAGGCTGAGACAATGGTGAGAAAGGTGGAGAAGGGGCAGGGGGTGAAGCCCAGGTGAGGAGACTGTGGGCGTGTTGCTGGTCATTGTGCTGCCTCTCTGCCCAGACCGGTGGTGGGGACAGACGTTTGGATAAGAGCCTCCATGTTTGCTGTGCTGACAGGCTTCCACACTCCATGCTCAGTGTGTGGGACGCACTCCCCCTAGTGCGTCCGTCTGTGATCCTCATTCCCTCTGCTGTAACAGTGCCATGGGCCAAACACGGCATGAACAATTGATTTTGTTCCGCAATACATTGCTCGTCAGACATGCTGCAGCCTGGCTCCTATGGTCTCACTGAAATATGCGCGTTCACATCGACCTCCCATCCGCCGGGGGGCGCATGTGCTTCAAGCAGTAGCAAGTCATACATGTGCGAGCATCCTATTATACCTGTCATTGCAAAGAATTTCTGAAAGACTGAACTAACCTGGGTGGTAATTATGGCTGTCTGGGCATCATCACCTCACATGAACATCCGGAGCGAAGCGGGAGTGCCAGAAGGGCCACATTTCCCCACAATGTGATGAAAATCCGACTGCAATAAAGAAATTAAAGATGCCATAAGCCATTTCTTATGCAAAACAGTAATTTGTTTGGTTACCTATGGTTACGATTAGTGCTGGCTGGATTTAGGGTGTCATTGTTGGGATTAGGGTTATGCCTGTGTGTCTGTGCTGACAGTGTTAGGGTCGGAAGCTGGAGCGACCTTCACCTCATCTTCGGCTGAATATTTAATCTGAGAGATCTGTAGAGTTATCGATTCCTGCCTGGGGCAGCTTGTGACCCCCCCCCCCCATCCTCTAGGGGGACAGTATACCTTCCCATGCTGCTCAGCAGGGGCCGCACCCTGCTGGAGTCACTGATTGGCCTTGGGGTGTCCTGCTCATGTCAGCAGATTAGCAGGGCTCCTGTACAGCGACTACAGGAAAAATCACCCCCACAGCAAGTTAGCAAAAGAAGTATGCCCCTCCCTCTTATTTTACAGCCTTGCAGAGCTGAGGGATTGACACAATCCGCTGGGACATGTTCCTGATATAGAACCATTCTGTTCACCCATGTTTTATCAGGACACAGTAAGCCTGAAGGCGGGAGACAGGGGGCGCTGTGGGACACCATTCTGTCAGGGGGCAGAGGGTGGGAGACAGGGGGCGCTGTGGGACACCATTCTGTCAGGGGGCAAACACAAGCAGGTGAGGGTAGAGGGTAGAGTGTAGGAGGAAAGCCAGAAGGATCCATGCAGAAGAAGCTTCACACCCAGAGCCGGGACGCGTGAGGCCGGACTGCTGCAGAGCGAGTGGGGATGAGGCTCCTTCAGACATGTCCTGCGCGGCGATTGGGTTCGGCTGAGACAGCAAGACCTCCCCAGAGCTCACGTCCACCTTTCACATCCATCTTTCCTGGTGCCCTTTTAACTCACGCTGGCCTTGTTCATCCGCAAGCTGTCTTTGTGTTTTTTTGTTTATGTTTGTTTTTTCAGCAAAATAAAACCAGTAAAATATGGACTCAGAAAAAGAATTTGCAGACTAAGACATGCAGACTGTACAGCGGGACAGTGGTCAGTGTCCAGGTCTTCATGTATCCCCCATGCCCCCCACCCCTGCCCCATCCCCCCGTGCCCCCATGCCTCCGTACCCCTGCGCCCCCATGCACCCCCGTCCCCTCCTGGGCCTCTGTGTGGATGTTCTCCTACACAGAGGGAGTCTGACACCCCCCCGCAGTGCAGGTCTGACACCACGCCTTCACTGCCCTAACCCCCAGCAGTGCAAGCAGATGGTGCAGTGTGTACTTCAGTGACTCATATTGCCACCAGGCTGTGTTCCTATCACCTGTCTGTGTGGCGGTGGCTGGGGATGGGGCCTCTGTCCGGGGGGGGGGCCTGCGGCACCCACTGCCACCCGTCACTGTTTATCTGTCTGCCCCTGTGTATGTGTTTGAATATCCCAACGAAACGTGAAGAATGCAATGGTGTGTATTGTAGCGATGATGTGCTTAGCAAGTCGCATCCTGGAAAAGACCCCGCCTCCTCCTGGCCGGGTCCCTGTTTCCATGGAGACCGCCTCCTCTTCGAAATGGAAATTACACGTGATGTTGACAGTGCTGGCGAGCAGCTGACAGAACTGGTATTTGTGCTAAAAATAGGGGCACACCGCGGGGTGATTTGGGTGAGTGGGCGGAGCCAGGAGGAGTGCCGGGAGGTGTGCCGGCCCTGCCACCCGACAGAGCGCCCCATGCACCCAATGAGCGTCCCATAATCCGTTTCTGGCGTGGGGGGGGGATGGGGGTGAGCATATAATGAGATGGTGAGAGCTGAGGTTTATGATGCAGGGAGTAGCCGGACAGTGCCACCTATACACCGGAACAGCTTGGCGTTATTAAGCAGCACCGCTTACCAAATGTGGGGGGGGGGGGGGGGGGGGGGGTTTTTTGGCTTACCCCCCCCCCCCCCCGAGGGCCTAAAACTGCGCCCTTCCCCTTTATTCAAGGCAGTCTGACCACTGCTGCTGTTCTCCTCTCCCGCAGAAAGTGAGCGAGAAGGTCGGTGGCGCCGAGGGCACGAAGCTTGATGACGACTTCAAGGAAATGGAGAAGGTATGCAGAGAGCCCTGCAGCCAGAGATCTCAGCAGCCAGACGGTCCCGCAGCCAAAGAGCCCCGCAGCCATGGAGCCCTGCAGCCAAAGGGTGTCGCAGCCAGAGTGCCCCACAGTTGGGGATTCCTGCAGCCAGACAGTCCCGCACCCAGAGAGCCTTGCAGTCAGAGTAGGGCACAGTATAGGAAGGTGTCCTCAAGTAGCCCAAGGCCGACCCACCTGTAACCTTAGACGGGCTATTCTGAAATTGGACTCCACATGCAGAGCCTGGGACGGGGGCCGGATTTCAGACCTGCCCCTGGTAACGGGATAGCCATCACAGAGACAGCCAGGAAGAGTCACGCAGCCCGCGCTGCTTCAAGGACATACTTCGACTCAGACATTCAAATACTCTTTGGAACAGGCATAGTACAAACCAGCACTCAGAAGATACTCAGGGTATTTGTATAGTTACATATGGTTACAGCCCTTAATTTGGGACATAATCTCAATTAATGAACTGCAATAACCATAAACTATATGGAAATAAACCAGTAATGCAGGGCTGCCAACTCTTACACTCTTATGGAAAATCTATATTATTCCATTATAAACCTAAATTTAGCCACATCAAAAGCGTTGTGGTAGTTTGCAAACTCCACAGACTATTTACAAGGTAATAGAACCATTGCATACATGTAAATGCGTGTGCAGACTGTCTCGAATTGAAAATCTCACTCCAGCCAGCTGACCGAAGCTGGCAGCCTGTGCTATGATTATTAAAGCTAGTGTTAGCTGTACCACAAGGATACGGCAGGATCAACTGGTACGCAAGTACGCATTCACCTTTAATAGCGATATGTGCGGCAATCGATTAATATAACAGTGCAAATACGTGTGTATTTTATGTGCATTTGCGCAGATATGACAAGAAATCCCTGGGCAGAAAGTTAATACAGGCATAGCTTTAGCAAAGGCCATGTGTTTATTGTGGTGCTACAGCCTGTCTGATCTTCTGTCCCTGCAGAAAGTGGATGTTACTAGCAGAGCGGTGCTGGAAATAATGACCAAGACCACGGAGTACCTGCAGCCCAACCCTGGTGAGCCCCTGTGCACAATCCTAAAGGCAAGAAATGAAACATAGGTTTGGCATAGTTTAGTTGATAGATGGTAACTAATGAGTCTGAAAGTAGTAGGTCTGAAGCTAGCAGGTCTGACGGGAACAGGTCTGACATATCAGGTCTGAAGCTAGTAGGTCTGACGGTAACAGGTCTGAAGCTGATGGGTCTGAAGTTAGTGGGTCTGACGCTAGTGAGTCAAACGCTAACAGGTCTGACACTAGTGGGTTTGAAGCTAATGAGCCTGATATTAGTGGTTCTGAAGCTAGTGGGTCTGATGCAAAAGTGGTCTGATGCTAGCGGGTTTGACACTAGCGAGTCTGAAGCTAGTGGGTCTGAAGCTAGCGGGTCTGATGGTAATAGGTCTGATGCTAGCGGTTTGACACTATCGGGTCTGATGCTAGTGGGTCTGAAGCTAGTGGGTCTGACGCTAACACGTCTGATGCCAGTGGGTTTGACATTAGCGGTTCTGATGCTTGTGGGTCTGAAGCTAGCGGGTCTGACACTAGTGGGTCTGAAGCTAACGGGTCTGACGCTAACAGGTCTGATGCTAGTAGGTTTGACACTATCGGGTCTGATGCTAGCGGGTCTGAAGCTAACAGGTCTGAAGCATAGGTAGAAAGTTCATGTCCAGAAAGTACAAATCCAGAGCAAGATTTTGTTTCAACCAAGCAGTTGAGTACTCTGTGAATGTGACTCTATATACTTGGCTAGTTGATTGGTCGATGTTGAGTATCCTCCTTTTAGCCCCCATGTCCTCTTCTTAGCCTCCTTGTCCTGCTTGTTCCCTCCCGCCTACCCACCCTGCGTCAACAGCGAGCATCACTCTCTCCCACCCCCAGTCACACAAAAAATGTGAAATTCAGATACCACGGAAGCCATGAACAGCCGTGCTTGCTATTATACTTTTATGCTGTCAATTATCGCAAGATAACAGCATAATGTAGTACTGCTTATTTGAAACTTTTTTACACACTTTAGTAAATCAGACTTATTCATTAAGAGTGTTGGACTGCATCAGTGGAATAAATGAAGATCGTTCACATAGTTTTATTGACATTTAGGCTGCACTCAGGTCATTATCGGTAAAGGACGAGGGATGCAGGCTCAACTCTGGAAGGGGCTTCTGAACTTGTGTGTTTTTGGCGTGTTTGACTTGAGCTCCTTTCGAGCTCTGACTGGTTGTCATTTGAGAGTGACAGGAGATTCACTGCTTTGATTCCTGCTCCCTGCAGCATCCAGGGCCAAGCTGAGCATGATCAACACCATGTCCAAGATCCGCGGCCAGGAGAAAGGGCCGGGTTACCCACAGGCCGAGACCGTGCTGGGAGAGGCCATGCAAAAGTACGGCAGAGAACTCGGGGAGGAGTCCAGCTTCGGTAAGCTCACAGACATCAGAGAAGGATGCTGGGGAGGTGCAGTGGATTAGAATCCTGTGGTCGGCAAAGTCAGCATATCGCTGTTGGGACTTCAAGACCCTTAACTCCAGAAAGTGCTTGGATAAATGGCTGACCCCACACTTTGTGTTTTGTGGAGATAGTCATAGTCGAAGAAGACGTATGTACTCTTACTTGTACAAATAGCAAATAAGGTTCTTATCTGATATCACATGAGTTGAAGACCAGTGGAACACTTCAGGTCCACCTAAAGTCAATAGAGCTCTGTTTCGCTGTAAGTACAGTACATCTCAAAGTCAGAAATGCACTACATGGTCATTTATAGTCCTTTTGTGGTGAGTTAGGAGAAGATGTCCTTCCATCTGCACCAATTGTGTTCCAGCACCTCAGGGCAATGAAAGGTAGCTGTTTACCGCAGACAGTGATGGTCTGATGTTCTTCTGCTCTGTGGAGAGCTACACGGATCCACTCAGAGGCAGCTGTCTTTCAGGCTTCGCTCTGATCGATGCTGGGGAGGCAATGCGGGAATTGGGGGAGGTGAAGGATGCCCTGGACATGGAAGTGAAGCAGAACTTCATCGACCCACTGCAGAACCTGCACGACAAAGACCTGAAGGAGATTCAGGTACAGAAACCAGAGTGCTGACCCCTGGGATTCGTGTGTTTCCGCTATGTGACAACTGATGCCTAGCATGCCAGGGTTATCTGAAGTGGCTCACGGCACTCGTCCGTCTGTCAGTGAGAGAGGTATGACATGAGGATACTATAGGATGAGCACGAGATGCATGTCTGGAAACGCAACACCAGCATTTCCCAGTTCACTAACAATAAGAGCACATGACACATACTTTGGCATGCGGTCCCTCATTTGTGAGGTGTGAATATGTATGTGCTGATCGGGAACAACCTGTCCCTGCAAATGAGATTCCAATCAACCAGCCACAAACAATTGAAGGTTCCTGTATTTTTTTTAGGAATAAATGATAATTCAGACTGGGTGCTCCTCAGTGACTCGGCTTATTTAGCGTGCAAGCAGTACCTGAGGTTTTGCCTGCGCTCACAGAGTCACGCCAGGCCCCATCCTAGTGAGTTGTCACTGTTTCTGTTCTTTCAGCACCATCTAAAGAAGATGGAGGGCAGACGTCTAGACTTTGACTACAAGAAGAAGAGGCAGGGCAAGGTGCAGGAGGAGGAGATCAAGCAGGCACTGGAGAAATTTGACGAGTCCAAAGAAATTGCCGAGCAGAGCATGTTCAACCTTCTGGAAAGCGACGTAAGGGGAAAAATCCATTGCTCAGTGTATCATTATTCCCTTCTGGCTGGAAAACATCTGACATTCTGTTGCCTTTGAGGGTAATTTGAAAGCATCCAGCTCCATGCCCGCTCGCTCCATGGCCAGTTTAGGCCGTCCAGTCCCCATGGCAACTGAAACTATAGCAACAGTGGATCAGCAACGTGTTACTTCTCGAGTCTTATTGAAGATCATTGCTGTGCAGTTCAACTTTATGACCTACAGTAAAAGCAACAAGCACCTAAGTTCACCCATGACTTAGCGACATCAAACATCCATATAACCCGGGGTGTCGCTGGGGCAGTTTTAAGGGAGCTTTAGCCCTCCCCCACACATAGAGAGTAATAAAACACTGTGTTCTCATTCATTTCCACAAAAATCAGACCCCCCCCCCTGCCAATGAATGCTTAGCCTCCTTTTCATTAAGCTCCAGTACCACTGCTGATGAGAATTTATCATTTCTATCTCCATGTAGTTTAGTTCATTTTCGGGGTTCAGGTGAACAGCTGCGATATTGGCGTGGCTTTTGAACACGTGTGACCCCCCCAGCGTGTGTCTCCTGTGCTTGTAGATTGAGCAGGTGAGCCAGCTGGCCGCTCTGGTCCAGGCCCAAGTGGAGTACCACCGGCAAGCGACGGACATCATGCAGCAGCTGTCCAGCAAGCTGGACGAGAGGTCAGTCGCGGCCGAGTCCCCACGCAGGCAGGCAGGCAGGCGGCTTCACTCTCCTCATGCTTCACCCCGTGACGTGCGTGTGCTCACTGTCCTGCAGAATAAAAGAGGCCTCCAGCAAACCCAGGAAAGAGTTCGTCCCTAAACCACGCATGGTCATGGAGCTCACCCCCAGCGAGAACCACAACGGAGGCATTTCCCACAGCGGCCCCGCCAAGTCTCCAGGTGCCGTGACCCGTTTCATGCTTCTACCACCCCCCCAGGTGTCTCAAAAATGGAATAAATAGCTAACGAGGAAAGTTTGAAGAAGGTAGCTAGCTGATTAGCAGAATATGCTGCTTCAGCGTCTCTTAAATAAGGAGGAACATGTTTATTTACAGTTTTCCTTGATTGCTTACATACTATTACTAGGGTTATGACCTAAAAATCCATCCATCCATCCATCGTCCAACCCGCTTATCCTACTGGGTCGCGGGGGGTCCGGAGCCTATCCCAGAAGCAACGGGCACGAGGCAGGGAACAACCCTGGACAGGGGGCCAGCCCATCGCAGAGCACACTCACACACCAGTCACCCACACATGCACACCTAAGGGCAATTTAGCAATGCCAATTAGCCTCAGCATGTCTTTGGACTGTGGGGGGAAACCGGAGTACCCGGAGGAAACCCCACAATGACACGAGGAGAACATGCAAACTCCACACACATGTGACCCAGGCGGAGACTCAAACCCAGGTCCCAGAGGTGCGAGGCAACAGTGCTAACCACTGCACCACCATGCCGCCCCTGACCTAAAAATTCAAACCACAATGCCATATACCAAAAAAACACACCCATTTCCCTGAACTTTATACACCTTTAACCTGTTTTCACACATGATGCTGAGGAATCATTGCATATATCATTGCTTACATCAGGTGCTCATTCCCAGTCAGCAGACAGTGACCCAGGTCACAATTTTGACACTAAGAGTCAAAATTGTTCACACACCAATCAGAACCTTCAGTAGACAGATAAAAGGGCCTTGGGTCAGATCACTTAGTTTTGGAACAATGGATCCAGAAAGACACGAAGGAAGAGAAGGAGGACAATGGCAAGAAGGAGGAGGAAGGAGAGGACGTGGAAGAAGAGGAAGAGGAGGAGAAGGAAGAAGGGGAAGGACAAGGAGACAAGCAGTGTCAGATGAAATTCGTGCAACTCTTGTCCACCATGTCCTTGTCCATGGGATGTCAATGAGGGAAGCCGGACAACGAGTGCAGCCAAAGCTGAGCCGCTTCACGGTCGCCTCTGTAATACGAACCTTCAGAGAGGAGAATAGGTGGGTGTTTGTCCTGCTTTGTGTTGTTACAACACATACATGTACAGTGGCTGTTTGCTCTATTGCACTACAGTATGTGCTGTCAGAAGTGCATTAAATTACTACTGTATCTCCTATGCAGTCTCAGAAATATGGAGTTACTGTATGCTCCCATTTTGTAAAAAGATGTTGTACGTTACAGTATCCCATCAGTACTTCTGTTTTTGTAGGACGGAGAGACGACCACCTGGCGGAGGCAGGCGAAGGCTGTTTTCAGAGGAGCACGAGAGGGAGCTTGTGAATATGGTCATCGCCAACAAAGTGATCCGCCTCCAAGAGATTCAGCAGAGAGTGACTGAAGACCAACACACGTTTAGAGGGATAAATGCTGTCAGCATCTCTACAATTGACCGCATCCTCCGAAAGAACAGGTTCAGGATGAAACAGGCCTACCGCCTCCCTTTTGAAAGAAATTCTGACAGGGTCGAGGACGAGCGCCAGGACTATGTACAAGTATGAATTTTCATATTGTATGAAGTATTTGAGTCTTCTCCTCTTGCAATACATACTCTACTGTGTACTCATTGTATACTTACTGTGTACTCATTGTGTACTCTACTCTTTATGGATGAGGCAGGATTTAACTTATCCAAAGGATGGAGAAGGGGGAGGAACATAACTGGCCATCAGGCTATTGTGAATGTCCCTGGCCAGAGAGGAGGGAATGTCATTATGTTATTGGCCATCAGCCACCGAGGTGTCCTCCACCGCCATGTCACCCTTGGTCCCTATAACACCATGCTCCTTATTGTTTCCCTTGATGCAGTCCAGCTAAACCAGAGGGAGCCAGCACAACTAGAGCAGCCTTGCTACATTGTCATTTGGGACAATGTCAGCTTCAGTTGGGCTGCTCTGGTTCCTGACTGGTTCACCAATAAACTTTCCGCATCTTTCTGCCTGTATAGTCTTCCTTTTAAACCCCATAGAGGAGTTTTTTTTGGCATGACGGTGGAAGGTTGAGACCCCTACATCCACGTTCACCTCCTCCAGGCCATGGAAGAGGCTTGTCAGGGGTGGATAACACATGCAAGGGTGATTTTCCACTGCTGCCTGGTTAGGGCTAATATATCTTATGATGTTAATGAGACTCTCTGACCTGATCCAGACCAGAGATGGGATGCTATGGCAGAATAGATTTTTTTTGTTTACTGTATTGGCCTTTTTATTGTATTTTATTTCATTGATACTTTACACTCTATTGGTTCTGAAGTTGTACTTTATGGTGGAGTAAATTAACGAATAAAAAATGTGCAAATGTAAACATTTGTTGGGTCTTTTATTGTGTTCATCATGTAAAGGTTTTTGTGTGTCAGAACCATAAGCAACATTACTGGGTTTTTACAGTAGTGTTTTGAATTTATCTTGCCAGTGTGTTACTGTTGTAGTATGTGTGTTTTTGAGGGCTTTTGTGTTACGTCTGAAGGCAAAGTTTGGTTTTTCGGCAAGATTGAGTGGAGAGTTTAGTCTTGACCTGGAACCTGGAAGTTTTTGGAGTTGAGTGAGCAGATATGTATTTGTGTTTAGAGGTTTGGGAAATGGAGGCATAATCTTAAGAAATGTGTTTTAGCAATCGAGAAAAACTGCAATATTTTTGTGTAGCCAAAACACAATGCAGGGTTTACGTGGCCGGCCATTGCGCCCCCTCATGGCGGCTTGCAGAAGCTCTAACAACCGTCCTATCTCCCCTTCAGCCCCCATGGACCAGCCCTGCTGCCGCGCGCTGTACGACTTCGAACCCGAGAACGAGGGCGAGCTGGGCTTCAAGGAAGGCGACGTCATCACCCTGACGAACCAGATCGATGACAACTGGTATGAGGGCATGCTGCACGGCCAGTCGGGCTTCTTCCCCATCAACTACGTCGACATCCTGGTGCCCCTGCCCCACTAAAGCGGCTCCCCCTGGTGGCGGTGCTTGTCGCCGACACGACCTCCCGCATCTGTGCTACTGCTTCTGATGATAAACAGAGAAGAAGACGATGACAACAGCTGCAATCACATGGCCCAACGTCTCCGCTGAGGATGGTAGAGCCTCTGGTGCTTCCCTTCTCCAACATTACCATGAGATCAGTGTACCGTTTTGGCTTTAAGCGAGCAGAGCAGCGGCGTGGCGAAGCTGATCATCTCCCCCCTTCCGATTTCACAGTTTTCGGTCTGACAGAAGAGAGTGGTGACACAAAGTTTCTCTCCTAAATCTTAACCTGTCACTTGAAGTGATTTTTTTTTAAGCAATATGCTTCTTCAAGAGTATGTTTTAAAGGCTTCCTTTTTTGGGTAGTTTGAACAATATTAGCTCTGTTTTTAGACAGGAACAGGAACAGGAAACGCGCCATGTAGCACGGTCCTCTTGCATGCTGGGATACGGCAGACTTCTCCTTCCATCCAGCTGCCATCCGCCTTGGCAGCCCTGGCATTTCTTCTTCGTTTCACCACAGTAGGTATAAATTGTAAAAAGGGGTGTTTATTTGGCTCATTCTGTGTACACAAGCTCATTTAATACTCATTTTATGCCCGTTCAGGAAAAGTCACATGCTAAAATGGACAATAATATTGAGAGAAAATATATTTGTACTGTATGTTAAAGTGTGTATGTGCTCTTTGTATGCAATTAACATGAGAATATTTTTAAGATATATCAAATTAATATATTTGTAGTACAAAACAATATTATTTACAATAAAGGGTTCTGATACGCCTTTACTTTTAATTCAGTGTTTTGAGAATTATGAATTGGTATTACGTTTCATGTACATCCCCGGGGGCCAAAATGATCCAAATGGAGTGAGAGTAAGGACAGCAATCCCAGCATGCAAGAGCAACAAGGGAAAGACCCAACTGAACAGGAAAGGCCTACTGGCAATTCGCAAAGTGGAAACGCAGAACGTCTCATCTGCTCATACCTGCCTTATTAGTAACATAATAAGCATATAAGTGTTGAAGCAGCAGTCCAGCAAAACTATGAAATGGCCACAAACTTCAAAGTAAAAGCCTCAGTGAATTCTGTAATTGTGTATGAAATAATGAGCTAAGTACTTGTGAAAATTATCTGTATCGTGACGTAAGCGAGTGAACAGAGGTACCTGTCTTCATTCTCTGCTGTTGAGGACACTGTAGTCTTGTTTCGGTAGGCAGGACCCTGTCCTTGCTGTGTCGAATCCTAGATCTTAATAGTACAGCCGTCTAAATTGTAGAACTTAAGTAAATTTATATGACTGTGTTTATCATAGATTACAGGTTTAATCCCAGCTTGGATGACTGCACCCATCCCCTGAGGAAATCTCAGTAATTACGTCATCACAACCCCTCCCTTTCTGGAAAAATCCATTCTTCCAGTCGAGAGACGAGGCTCCCTTTTTCATTTTATTTTCCAAATGTTGGGTACCAGCTGTACTTTATCCTTTGAAGCCCATCATTTCCCCCACACTGGGCTTTGCTGTAATTTTCTCAGTTTTACACTCCAGCTTGGGGAAGACCACAGAGCTTGAAGATGAAGGTGCTTATGATTGTGCTGGAATCTCTCTCGGGCCACGAGCTGAGGTCATTTCTAACCGATAGCGATACCACTGGCTCCCTGATTGCAGTACCTGTGCAGTACGTGTCTTTTAGCCTGTCATGGAAACATTCCCCAAACAAGATTGTGATTTTATAGAGTCCGTCAGCCTGTAAACAATGGCCCAGTGTATCCATTGGCATCATTTAACTGAATCTGTGAGGGGAGTTGGACTTTTTACTCAGTGATGCTGCACACTTAATGTTTAAAAATGAACATGCACATTAACTTGCAAATCATTTTGATCTGCTGGGTGTTGTGCTTGGTTGAACTGGTGGTTCAGTGGGGGGGGGGGTGCCGTCACCTACTACCTGCTGGCCTGGCAGTTTGAATGCTTCCCCTGCTCCGTTTGTGTGGGACTTTTGTGTTCTCCCATGTTGTGTGTCCAAAGACATGCAGCTGGATGAGCAGTTTGGAAACCTGCCCCCTTGAGGCTAATGACGGGAGTCGCATTTCCTAGTGATGGACAAGATGACAGTTCGTGAACCATTTGCTGTATTTCCTGACCCCACTAGATGGCGGTCTTGGTTTGCGTTGGAGCATGCTTTGAGGCCTTTTTTGAACAGAGAGCAGTGGGGTCAGAAAATACAGCGAATGGTTCATGAAGCGTCATTTTGTCCATCACTAGTATTTCCCATTCTTCTGTCCTTACATCCCTACCATTGCTAGTGTGCTTGGCATGTCTGTGCTGTGCAGCTAACAGTGTTTTAAACATAGAGTACCCATGCAATGTCACCAGTGCTGCGGGGAGCCGCATATCTGCTCTGTCCTTCACATGTGCCGTGCGTGTGGTGCTGCTCTGTCATCTGAAAAGTCATGTGACCAGGAGCGGCGGGAGGGGCAGCCTTCCTGCAGAGGAGGGGCAGGGCATGGCCTTCGCTGAAGTGATGGCTGTCGATCAGATGGCCCAGGCACAGCATGAACTGGCAGCTCTTTGGATTTAACAGCGGCGTTTCTGTCACTTCCCTGCAGCTTCCTTCAGTTTGTTTCAGGAAGAGTATTATGAGCATTTTCACTCATACTGAGGACTGTACAGCTTTCGTGCTTGTGTGCAACCTGTGTGTGAAATTGTGTATCAAGTTTGGCCTTTTTGTACATTTATCAATCACAACATACTGGGCACATGTTCATGTGTGCTGAACACAGTTGTTGTCCTTGAATTCTTCTTTTTCTTATTTTTTATTTTGTTTCCTGTGCCAGCTTACAAGACAATGTAATGCTTGCTGTGAGAGGATCTCTGTCATTTATTGGAATAAATACGAAGACAACATGTTGGCTTCATTGGATTACTCAAGACCATAAATGACACCCAACATGCGCATACGCAGACACATAAAGCTGTTAACTAATATCTCAGCCCATGTAATAACAGCATCCTAAGTTGCAGCACATTATCACTTTATGCACAGCTGTCAGAGACGATCCAGTTGAAATTTCAGTACTTAAAATAACCACTAGGGGGTGCTGTCGATCAATGAGTATCAATTGAAATATTTAAATTTAGCCCTTATTTAGTGTAATCATATCAAAAAGAAAACAACACAAAACAAAATGAAGGGCATCTATTTAAAACAAGTCTCGGTGATGATGAGTACGACTTCACGGATTCACTCCAGACCGAATACATCACTCGTTTCAGTCTCACCCTCGCGCTGCCGCTCCCTCAGTCGGCTTCCGGCACTTCCTCATTATTTACACCAGAGGGCACTAAGGTAAAACACCTTCCCCGGTTCATCCAAAATGCCTGTACATATTAATTCACTTAAAGTCCAAAACCATAAGCTGAACAGTCATTGTCATTACACAGCGGTCCTTTATGTTTGTACTTATTATATTTAAATCCAGCTGTGAAGGTTAATTAGTTAAAATAAAGTCACAGTGATTTGAAAACTGTCATTTTTAATCACCTTGCAGTTATCTCTTGTTTCTGGGACAGACTGCAGGCTCAGCACTGGATAAGCAGGCTTGGAGAAGGGATGAATACTATACAGCACATTTTGAAAGATGTAAAGAAAAGAATAGCTTTTTTATATATACTCAGTGACAAAAAAAAAGTGCTGTCTCACGAGGGGTAAGACATGAGGATGCAGGATGTCACTAACGTAGCACTATGCCGACAGGGTCCCCTGAATCACTACCAGAGATGACCTGAAGTCATACACTATTGCTCCCCACACCTTGATGCCAGGAGTAAAACAAGTGTCTCCACAATATTGGCAGGATTGGTTCTCCCCCCTCGGTGCCGCCATACGTGCACATGATGGTCATCCGTGGTAATGCAGAATCAACATTCATTGCTGAACATGGTACGACGCCACTCGTCATCATTCCAGGCCTCCCAGTTACGGCACCACTCCAAACATAGCCATCTCTGCACTGCACATGGGACGGTGAACCTGTAGCCCAGCTGATGCCAGTCATCGAGACACGATGAGGGATGAAACGGGGTATTGTAGAGTCCAATACCTGTATGCAGATGGCAGACGCAGATGACATGGGGTTCTGTAATGCTTTGTGCACAATATGATCCTTCGTTTGTTGTGGTCTGTCTTGGGCGACCGGAACCTTCACGACATGTGTGGGTGCCCTCATGTGTGCACTGGTTCCAACATTGGGCGACTGTGACAACTGCATGCCTCACATGCCAGGCAATTGCACGACATGACAACTTGGCCTCATGTAAACCCACAATGCCACTCCTATCAAACTCCGACAAGTGCTGGGAATGATGTCTAATGTGTCTACGAGGCATCGTCTGTGTCTGGTGACTAGATGTGCCAGCTCCTTGTAAATTCTATTATTTATGTACCCATTGCTGGTCTGCACATGTACCAAGTTACATCCAAATCGGACAATTACTTCTGGATGCTTCCAGCTCACACTACACACTACCTGCGCAATCGCTGTCCTCACCGTCATCAGGTATCAGAGCATCGCACTACACCCTCACAGCCAGCACCCGCGTAGCCGCTGTCCTCACCGTCATCAGGTAGCAGAGCATCGCACTACACCCTCACAGCCAGCACCCGCGTAGCCGCTGTCCTCACCGTCATCAGGTCGCAGAGCATCGCACTACACCCTCACAGCCAGCACCCGCGTAGCCGCTGTCCTCACCGTCAACAGGTACCAGAGCATCTCACTCCTAAACTGGACTAACGAGGACTAAGCTCATTTTAGGATTTTAAATGATGAAATCTTTATATGACTCTTTCAGTTAGTTTCAGCAAAACTGATGTATATGACAAAAAGATTGATATACCTGATATAGGACTGTGATCTTCATTAGTATGGTTGTCTGATACAGGACTACAGCAGGGCTGCCAACTCTCACGCATCTGCCGTGACACTCACGCTTTTAGACTCTAACGCTCACCTAATAAATCTTACGGCGAATCTGTCTTTCATTATAAACCTAATATTAGCTATGTCAAAAGCACTGTGGTAGTTTGCTAACCCTACAGACTATTTGCAAGGTAATAGAACTGTCACATACATATAAATGCATTTGCATTTGTGTGCAGACTTGTCTTGAATTGAAAATCTCACGCTGGCCAGCTGACTAAAGTTGACAACCCCACTACAGTCTTCATTAAGTACATGATTATCTGATACAGGAATGCAATCTTCATTAGGTACATGATTATCTGATACAGGAATGCAATCTTCATTAGGTACATGATTGTCTGATACAGGACTACAATCTTCATTAGGTACATGATTGTCTGATACAGGACTACAGTCTTCGTTAGGTATATGTTTGTGGGTCGGGTCACGGGGGCAGCAGTCTAAACAGGGATGCCCAGGCCTCCCTCTTACCAGTCACCTCCTCCAGGGCAATACCAAGTGTTCCCAGTCCAGCTGAGCGATATACTCTCTCCAGTGTGTCCGGGGTCTGCCCCAGGGCCTCCTCCTGGTTGGACATGCCCAAACACCTCCCCAGTCACTACCCAAAGCTCAAGAGCATAGGTGAGGGTAGGGATGTAGATTGACTGGCAAATTGAGAGCTTCGCCCTCCAACTCAGCTCCCTCTTTATCATGACGGAACAAGTGTCCGGATTACTGCCGGCCCTGCACCGATCCATTTGTCAATTTCTTGCTCCCTTCTTCCCTCAGTCGTGAACAAGACCCTGAGGTACTTAAACTCCTCTGCTTGGGGCAGCAACTCATCCCCCACCCGGAGCAGGCAACCCATCCTTTTCCCAGTCGAGAACCATGGCCAAGAATCAATGTTACCCCTCCTGGATTGGGGAAACCAGGGCCTCGCCCTAGAGCCGGACCTGTGAAGGGAGTCCGAAGGAAACACATGGGTCTGTCCTTCTATGGGCTCACCCCCAGCTGAGGGAGCCGTGGGAGACAGGTGCAGTGTAGATCAGGTGGCAGTCTAAGGCAGGGACCTCGACAGAACAATTGTCGGCTACCAAAACAGGCTCTCAGTACATGGAAAGGACTACGGTCTTCATTAGACATGTTTGTCTGATCCTAACCCTAACCCTAACCCTAACCCTAACCCTAACCCAATCTTCGTTAGGTTTGCCTTCTTCTCCCTCTCTGCATGGACATGTCCCACCTGTGTTTAACACCCCTGCACATTTCTGCGGCATTTTAGGAACGATATAAATAACCTATACTTTCTACACTTTTCACCAGCTTTTATATGGCAAAAACACCCACGCTTATTTCAGACATGTGTTAAACACATTGTTTTAATAAAGACAAATTAGACTACAATAAAAATGTACACAAGCTCAAAATAAATACAAAAGGGATGGACACAGCTCTGTAACCATCAGAAGTATAAAAGTCCAGGGCTCCGGCTCAGGACGCGCCCATCAATGAGACCCCAGAAAGTTCCTCATGTTCTTCATGTCCAGCTCCAGCTGCATGATCTGCACATCCTTCTGACGCAGCTGCTCTCTCAGGAGAAAGATCTCTTCCTGTTGCTGGTAAAACAGCTGCAGAAACTGGCAGCCCAGTGTGCAGAGATCTATCAGGACAGCTGCCACTCTGCCAGGCTCAGACAGCTTGGCAGCTCCTGCCTCTCTCTCTACAGCAGTTGGCTGAAGGTTCACTGGCTATGAGTAAGGATTCTTCCCGGGGATCCATACATATCTTAATAGCCATTTAAAAGCTAGGCCTTTAAAACAAAGTACTGTACATGGGGAAATTATTGCATAGTTAATATCCCTCCAAAGACAAATCAAGTACCATCATCTCTTAAACAATTAAACATATTTGGTTGAAATCCCAGTAGAGCTACTGCTGTTGGACTCTAGGGCTACTACATCCAAACAGATAACTGTGTGGTTTGACCAAACTACAGCGACTATATAATGACAGACATATAAGCTTAGCTCTCTCACAGCACTGTGGATATAAGAGACATTGAGGGCTGTTATGGTTGTATCATACTGGCATCCCTATATCAGACTCCATTTTACGAGGGCTGCCCACGCTCTCCACCAGTCAGTGGTACGAGAGAGAGCAGCAGTATGAGAAGGCCATTCACAGCTAAGCCAGAAACGATGCCCCAGTCCATCGTACCTGACTTTCAGTTCTAGGCGAGCTCCAGGCCTGGTACCCGTTGGATAAGGTGGCCAGGCTGCACTCGCGGGCTTCCGGGTGCCTTCCATCCCGTCGCTCCTGATCAGAGGTCAGCGCCAGGATACCGGGGCTGCTTCTGCGGTGCGTCGGGTACAGGGGGCATCTCAGGGGGAATTCTGGCATGACCTTGGGAAGCTTGCTGCTTGGTCTTAAGGAAACCAGCACAGGGCCTAGGGCACAACGCAAGTGGCGGGTGAACCGGTCGCCTTTATAGCGAAGAGCTTTAAGGTGGGAGATTATCAGCGTTAAAGAACGAACTCTGTCTGGGTGTGACTGATCCCCCTCTCATCCAATGACACAGTCTTTCGTGCATTGCATACTTACGTTCAAGGCAAACCTTAGCAACTGGACTTGCAAATAGTGTAAGCTGAAGTTTGAAAATGGGACGTCGTGCAGACCTGATGAAACATACCTCTGTTGAGACCACCGAGCCACTCCTCTGCGGTCATGGCCGGCTCAGTCCCTGCGGTCATCGGGTAGATGTCCTCCTGGTAGCATTCTGACTGAGACGGACAAAATGCAAAACACGGGCATAAGGTGCCAGATTAGTGGCTTAGCCGAGTTTCCACAGCAGCCTTGGTCGTGGTGGCCACATGTGATGTACTGCTTTATGTGGCTGAACTGACTGGAATGCACCGCTCTCACCCTGCGAGGGACAATCATGGAGAGCATCTCGATGAGGCTTTTGGTGGTCACCAGCCTGTAGAAGCGGAACACCTCGCAGGAGCACACATCCAGACCTCGCTTGGGCATGATGCCTGTGGAGGAAGAAAGAGCAAGCATGACGATGGTCACTCACTACCCAAATAATACAGACTCCTCAGAGATGGGGGTTTACCGATATATTCAAAGTACAGCAGAGTACCAAAGCAGAGAGCCGTGCCAGTTGGGCTGGCTGAACTTACCCAGGCCTTTCTGAGGGAGGGGGGAGCGATACTCATTCAGGAACTGCATGTAGGGTTTTTCAAGGCTGATTTCATAGTACCTGATGGTCCCATCACCCTGTGGGTACAGGCATGTGTTGGTCACCATCTCGAAGACAATTACAAGTCTGCTTCTTCCTACACAAAAGTCATGGTGCCTGCACAGCTAAATTAGCATGTTCTGCTCTACTTCACCACCATTTTCCCATGAATTCTGAAAGCAGCAACCACACACACGCCGTCTGCTGACTCACCTTTCCGGCCAGGTACAGCATGTGGGTGTCAGGATCATAGAAAGGGAAGATCACCCCAGAACCGTCATCCAGGTCCTCTTCCAGCAAAGGTGCGGACAGGTCCTCCTGCTCACAGAGGCAGACACATGACCAGCCCGCTTTGAATATCTTCCAGCCACTCAAACACATCACAAATGCTACTTTAACCCTTTCAGGCTCAAATTAAGTTTTAGTAACGACAGGACAACAAAGTCCTGCAGTGGTACTTCTGAGTAAAAAAAAACTGTATGTATGTGGGGTAATAAGGTAGTTAGTTTTTAACTGTTGCAAATCAGCAACGCCTGCCTTGAGAGGGTTAATACCAATTGTCCTGTATATAATGGCATAGTCCTGCGAGAAAAGATGACCATAGCGCCCCTAACATTTTTCATGGTTCTGCATCTCGCATATGCATAGCATTAATTACACACGTAGCTATGCAAACAACGCACGGAAGGAACGCATCACACGAGGCAGCCATGATACGCAAGTGAATGCCCTTAGTCGTCGATAGTCACCATTCCAAAAGGCACCAGCAGAGGGAACCTGTCATCTCACATGAATGGCCCACTTTACATTCTGTCATTTCTGTAGACGTACAGCTTCCGGCTCCTACCTGATCCCACAGCGCAATCTGCCTTTGGTTCCAGCATGAACTCCCAGTCGACAGGAGCATCTTTGCGTTTCCCAGGTACAAGACTTTGTTGGCTTTGTGTGACTTGCAGGTAGCTTCCTAAAGCCGATAAATTGCAGAGCAGATTCAGGACGGCAGCTCGGCCCATAAATGTGCTCTACGTACACCAGCAACTACAGGCATACAAACATCACAGGCACGTGTACAAAGGCCTCTGAGAGAGCGCCTGTGTAGAAGATGCAACATCTTCCAATAGTAATGTACGGTTAACATTTGGCACCAACAAAGGCTTAATTTCAAAGTATAAGATCAAGAATTCCAAGAATCGTAGCATCTGTCCCCACCTCCCCCCACCCCCCACGCACCTGCAGCAGCGTCCCTGTGCGGGGCTCGATGACGCGCACCTTCTTGTCCTTGCAGGTGGTGGCCAGCCGGCTGCCGTCCGTGTTGAAGGACATGGAGAGGACCACATCTGTGTGTAGGCTAATGGTCTTCACTGGGTTCTTGATCACCCGCTCCACTGTGTCCAGATTCCACACCATCACCTGTGTGAAACCCACACAGTGAGGAAGCATGACGGTCTGGGATGAGCGAGGTCTCCGGGGGGACCAGAGCTCTGTTGTCAGACATTCTGGACATTTTTGCCAAAAAAAATAATGAAGAAATAAATGCCATCGTTCAGTAACCAGTCATATGGAAATTGAAATAATGGGTCGGCTATAGAATAATAATAATAATCCCCTTTTACAATCATCCACCAACAGTTACTCAGACATTCCCTCCTACTTAGCAAGGAACAAAAATATTCCATTTTATACGGAAACTACACACCCTGGCCCGCCTCCGTCCAGCACCAGTCCCGACCCGGCCCGCCTCCGTCCAGCACCAGTCCCGACCCGGCCCGCCTCCGGTCCAGCGCCAGTCCCGACCCGGCCCGCCTCCGTCCAGCACCAGTCCTGCCCCATCCCAACCACCCGAGTCCTGCCCCCAGTGCAGCAGTCACCTTGCAGTCGTAAGCTGTGCTGAAAAGCACGCCTCTGGCGGTCGGATGCCACTCGATGAGGCCCACCCGGCGAGAATGGCCCTGCAGGTCCTTCCGGAAGGCCACAATGTCCTTCCGCAGGCCCAGCTTTGGAATGTCCCAGATTTTAACCTGGGGTGCAGAGGAAACGACAACCAGCTCACTTGTGGTACGGAGGCTTCAAACACGTATTGTTCAAAAAGTCACTGTACACACTGCTGCAAATGGTCAAAACGTCGGTGATAAATTCACAGACGCACTCGAGAACAGTCAGAGGTTTGTATGAAACAGATCACGTGGCGTCGCATTCACCATCACACAGTACACTAAAAACAATAATATTGTTAATCATTGTTAATATTATTCAGTATGACACACTGTGGTGTCCTCAGAGCAGGATGCGATGCAGCAGTCATCAAATGGATTCCACTTGACGTCCAGCACATTCCCACGGTGGCCACAAACGCGAGGGTGGTGGCGGTCAACTTTCCCCGTCTGCCGAGAAAATCAGAAGGGGGGGGGGTGGTGAATCAACATACGCAAGGGAATCCCAAGGGTCCACATGCCAGAGGAATTCTCAGAGCCCAGGGCACTGCCAGGAGTATAATATTCCCTGCCAGGCATGGTAGCTCAGTGAGTGTTTGACAGCAGCATTAGCTTGCAGAACAACGGCCAGGAACATCACTTTTACTCCAAGCCAATTACCGACTTGGCTTCCATTTAGCACAAGCTATCATAGCTGCTACTTTATTAGCTGTCAGGCTGGCCATTAAGCTCCTCCAGAAGCTGTATGATGGAGACCGTATTGCATCTCGGAAGATTTGACCATCTACCCTGCTCGACAACACAACAGGTTAACGTTAAATCTCAGATTTCAGTTGAGGGTGCTCAAATACATTCACCCACTGGCACCAATGTGCCCATCTGACCAATCCAGGGAAAACTAGGAGCCAAGCTTCAGACACACAACCGTCATAGAGTGTCATAGGTGAGTAGGCGGGGTCTCACGTGGTGAATGGGGATGACCAGGAAGGCCCCGCCTCCGGCACACTCTGTGATCACCGCAATAAAGCTAGGGTTGACTGCACAGAAGTGGTTGTCATGGACGCTCATGGTGATGGGCACGCCATCGTAGCAGTTCGGCTTGGTGGCAGGCTTCCCAAACACGTGGCGGAACTTTGAGCTGTGGTACTGAGGTCGCCATGTCATCTGAAAGACAGGATCGGAAGTCAATCTCAAGTCAAGGTGGAGGGAAAGTGAAACGCTTGCCGAGTTACCGCTCTAGTATCCGAGGAGAACATCTCAGCAAGCAGACGGCAGGATTAACAGAGCCAGTTAGTGATAAGCCCCACACGCGTTTTGAAAGACATACTAAATTGTGTTCAAAAACTCAAACAGATAATTTACAGTGCCAAGCCAAGACAACAACTTGTCTTCCTGACAAGCACAATCTGTTAGGGCATACCACGGAATTCGAAAGAGTCCCGATTACGGAGATGGCACCAACACGCAGCACCTCCACCAAACTCCAGGCACCAAGCAGATGGAGGACCTGCTGCTTGCCACGTTTAGTCTGTAAGCAACATCTGACCCCAGAGACATCCGGTCTGAATCGGCATCTCGTCTCGTTTCAAATGATCCCATACAAGGGTTCCTTGAAACGAGACACTGCCCCAGACAAATTGTCGTCATCATTTATTTACTGACATACTTATTTATTCAAACATGCCATTATCCCGAGCAAAATGAATCCGAAAAAGAGAAGTAACTCCACAGAAACAGCTCCTAAACCACGTGGGGTCTTTCAGGGCAGAGTAAGACATCTTAAAAGGTACGTGCAACTGGGTACAAGGAAACCTAAGTAAAGTCGATCGGATGTGAAGTTAAAGGTCATTCTCAGATTTAAGAGGTGTATGTGGAGTGGAGTGTGATGATGTCAAAGGCTCAGGTCCACGGTATGATGTCAGCACAGCCCAGGAGCCCTTTGTCAGCACAGACGGACGCCACAGTTTTGCACTTCAGGGCTTGCAAACACCTGCTTTCATGCTAGCACTCTGAATAACACCTCAAAAGTCCCAAACCACAATCTCTCCCCGGCCCGCCTCCGCTTCCTGAGCCGGGCGGGGGGCACACAGGTTCAAACACAGCATCACGGCACACTCACCCTGCCGGGACCCCGCTCTCTCACCGCCCCGCAAGTGCCTGAGCCGCCCTCGTCCCTGCAAGTGAGCTAGCATGGGAGAGCTAATCAAGGGGGGGCGGTAATCGGAAACTCCCTACGAGATCCTCCTCTCCGCTCCTCTGAGCCTGTAACCAAAACCCTTCGGCCCAAGGCCATAGTCATGGAGTCTACATTGGAGGGGGAGGGGGGACCAAGGCTGTAATTATAATATATATATTGGAGGAGTCATTGTGAGCACATCTGAATACTGGGGGACGTGTCATATATAATTATGACCTTGCTTCTGCCCAATCCAGGGCCTGGCTGGGGGCTTATCAAACATGCTGTGCCACAGTTTAAAAACCCCTCGGTCTCATATTCTCTTGGGGCAAGACTGACAGACACCCCCCCACGACCTCCATAACATCCTCAAACAAATACAACAATACTGAACAGCAAATGTAAAACTCGCAGTGATACACACGACCAAACGAGGCCACAGCACAAGATCGGGATATCCCTGGGAAAGCCCCGTCGGAGGCTGCACAGAGCACGGGGTGACTCATGGCACAGCATGGGGCCAGGGTACGTGTCGTCCCACCACAATCCAGGTATTTCCTGGGGAACTTACCCTTACATTACTGCCCACTACCAAAATATTAAAATGTCCATCGTAGACCATATAAATCTGTAATGATGCAAACAGAATTTATTTATAAAAGCATTGTATGCACGTTACTTTAAGGAAAAGGGAGCAAAAAGAGGAAACCAGTTTATTCTCGACGCGTTTACCTTTTTCTCCTACTAAATGCGCCCTCGGAAAGAGCCCGGAATGGGAATAATATTGAAATATTACTAATTATTTCATTTCACCTTTGCATTTTGCTGAAGGCTGGCCAGGCCCGCTCGTATCCAAATCACACTCCTCGTATTTCAGACAAACACGAACACTTTTGGTAATCTGTTTCCACGTTTCACAAAGCAGTTTTCCCGAGTGCGGTGCCTCATAAAACTATAAGATTTAATTAATATATATGTTAGGCTAATGTGAATTAATGACGCTCAGTACCGTGACACCTTCTTCTCCGCCATCGGGGCCAATACAGCTCGCAAACATTTCCTTATCGAGCAGCTAAGCCAAACGCAGCCGCTTTATATTAGGCTAAAACCGCGACAAAAAACGGACGCGAGTGTGCGCCCTGGTGAAGCCCTTATAGACGGTCCCTTTCTCATCAGACCTTAATCTTTTCCTTTAAAACGCCCAATCAAAACGCAGCGAGATTCCGTACTTAACGTATCCTGAAATACTATAGTCCGTATGAAAGGGTTACAGAATACATTTTAAAACGCCCTTTATACGGTTTTTCTTTTCTTTCTACTGAAGTACAGTATGGGCCACGGCATTAATTAATCCATACTTGGTTGCTTAAAATGTAGCCAAGGTTTACTGTGGTAGAGATCGCACGCTTATTAATGGAAGCATGTTATTCAGAGCAAAATAAAACCATAAAGTTAAAATTACTCCACAAATGAAATCACTGCGTAAATTTTATCAACGAAGAATTTGGCACACATCTAGTACAATAACTGAAACTGCATTTCCTTGTCTGAAAGCACTTCTTTACACAGCGTGTAGTTAGAGTATTGAATAGTTTTCCTGTTAGTGCAGCGCAAGCTAAAACCCTGGGTTTCTCCCTAAACGAGCTTGATGGGTCGAATCGCCCCCTCTCATTTAACTAATAGCTCAGAGTTGTTAAAATCATATCTAGCTCTGATTTAAAGGAACCCAGGGTTTTAGCTTGCGCTACACTAGCAGGAAGACTATTCCATACTCTAACTACACAGTGTAAAGAAGTGCTTTCACAAATTCATTTTAAAATGTTCTAACGCTAATTTCATTGTACCCTTTCCAAGGCAGTAATGTCATTTTTAAGGTAAGGTGACCAAACCTGCACACAATATTCTAGGTGGGGTCTTACCAAGGAATTATATAATCGTAGCATCACCTCCCTTGACTTAAACTCCACACACCTAGAGATGTAACCCAACATCCTATTGGCCTTTTTAATTGCTTCCCCACACTGGCGAGAGTGGGACATGAAAGCATCAACATACACACCAAGGTCTTTCTCATCATCAGCTACCTTTATTTCAGTGGGAAAATCGACTTGTTTTTATCATAAACCCTGCATACCTAAATGATTTGACACCTGAGATTGGACACCTGAGAAGGGATGTAACACTTTCACCACAAATGCAGTTACTGCCCTGCGACACTTGGTTTGGTCATCTTTCTCTGTAATGGCAACAGGAATGGTGTGTCATGGCTGGTTCTCTTTACTTGCAAGGAGCTAGTGCTACTGCTGACTGAATATGGTTCTTTCGGGCTTGGAATCCTCAAACACTGTTTCAGAACGATCTCGTCCCGCCTTAAATCTTTGGTATGGTTATTACCTTCTTAGTTTCATGCATGCATTGCACTCTGCCGAATCCTTTTCTGTTCTAGTATAGTGAAACCACGCTTTTGAGGGTTTGCCACAATCCATGTTTGAGACCAGTTATGGTCGAATGTTAACAATGAAACTCTTTTAGTAATTGCTAAAAGAGGCTTTTAATTCACTATGACCTTTAATTCCATATAGGAGCTGTCTAGTGTCATGGTCTTGTACGTTTGTCCTCTTTGCTGTTCTGATTTGTACAGCACTTTGTGTCAATTTCAGTTGTATGAAATTATCTTAGTTAAAGATAACAATAAAAGTACTTTCTGGTTGAATTTACTCTGTATATAATTATTTGAAATCATCTGTGGTTATATAAATGCTCATTTATGACTGAACTCTATCTTAAATGACCCAAACCGGGACTGAAATCCACACTGTGTCCTCCTCACCTTTGCCATGCATCACACAATCACTCCATTCTTCCTGTAGCCCAAAATCCAGCAGCTGTGCAGGCTGCCGTTGTGGCACCCAGCACCCTATGCTCTGGGTTACTGGGGTGGGACTGAGGTCTACACTCACCCACTATGCTTCAGAGGGTCGCCACATTCTGCTAAAAATGGTTTCAGTAGATTTAATCAATTCCCATCATGCAGGATACATCCCATGGATTAAGGACAACCTCTGCAGACAGGTCAACCTATGGAGTAAGGACACCTCATGGAATGAGGACACCCCACGTAGTATCGACATCCCAAGAAGTAAGGACACCCTACAAAGTAAGGACACCCCATGGAGTATGGACACCCCATGGAGTATGGACACCCTATGGAGTAAGGACACCCCATGGAGTATGGACACCCTATGGAGTAAGGACACCCCATGGAGTATGGACACCCTATGGAGTAAACATACCTCACAGAGTAAGAACCCCCTATCTCTGTCGAGGCAAATTGCCTGTGTTTGGATAATGAATTTTTGAGTCTGTTTTCCCTTGAATTTTACTGGCTTTGTGAAATTTAACGAAACACGACTCACCTCTGCAGCTTCAAAATCTTTTTTCATGTGGTATCATTATCTGTCATTGTCTCCACTGCATGTATATACATATACACAGTCCATATACTGTATAAATCAAATCAAACATCTACAAAAAGTGAATGAACTGAGTCTTTAATAACATTTTTACATTAATTGTACACAGAGAGAAACATTCCATGAATTTATTTATTTCTCATAAATAAACAGATTGATAAGAAACAAGAGAGACACTGGACTTTCCTTTACATCTGACAGCCAGAAGGAATCGTGGGAATGAGAGCTGGATGCCCACCAGGCTCTGGGACAGTGCTGTGTTCAGGGCTCAGAGTGCACCTGTTACAGCCTTGCTGCAACTATGTCCGAGCTCCAGTGGCAGGTTTTACAGTGAAATGACGTGATGTCCAGCTGCAGGAGAAATAGTTCTCTCTTCAGCCAGCCAGTCATGAAGATCCCACTCTGGGCCCCGGCCAATGGGAATCTCCACATGATGCGTGAGCTGTAATCACCGTTAAAAACTGCGGAGTGACTCCAGCTCACGAGGTCGCCGCATCCCCCTCCAGGGCATCCTTAATCATCGCCAAGATGTGTGAGAATGATGGTCTCTCTTCCACTTTCTATGGGAGACAGAGCAGAGAGCAGCTGGCAGACATGTTGCAGTATAGCAATATCCTGCAGCCAACACACACCACAATGGGCTGAATGGACGCAGA